GAGATCTCACTCATTACCTTGAAACTCGAAGTGACGAATAAGTTGTCCCTTCGAGCTCTAGTCGATTGTGGGGCGTCCAACAATTTTGTGCGACGCCAATCGCTAGAAGATGGTCACTTTAAATTCAGTGAATGTGACACACCTCCTACGAGGATGACGGTACGTCTTGCGACAGGCGCATCCGTAACCGTCATGAAGCGTATAGTGAAGATTCACTATACGCTAGAAGATACCCAATACGACGATGACTTTATCGTATTGGATTTGGATGACAAATTTGATGTCATCCTTGGAATACCGTGGCTCAGAAGGTACGAACCACGGGTAAACTGGCAACATCGGACAGTAACGATGCCTGCCGCTTGTTCATCAGATGGCCATCTGATGAACGTTTTGGAGAGTCCACAAGCGTGTGGATGTACTACGAGTGAGTGCGATGGCCTCACTTGTGGTACGGTCGTTAGTACGACTGCACAAAACCTTAGTGTAACAAACGGTTACACTTCGGAGCAAAGTTCCGGCGGCTGTGAGGAAACACAGGCTGCGCCGAAGGTCCACCACTCGAATAAGTCGGGTGGACTGGGACAAAGATGTATCCCTAGAGGGGAACATCTAGAAGAGAAACAATCGATCGCTCAGGTTAAGCGAAACGATAATCCTAGATCGACTGGAGAGTCTTTCGTAGAGGATCTCGCTGTGGTTGCGCAACCCCAGCTAGAGGAAGTAAAGGGAATAAGTCCCAAGATTACAAATACGGCGGAAATAAGTTCCCCGAAACCCGCGGGAATAAGTCCCCGGGAAGACGAAGGAATAAGTCCTTCGAAGCCTGAGGGAATAAGTCCCCAGGAAATGACAGAGACATTGAATGTCATAGTCAATAACGGATCATGTGTAGGCGCTTATACACTTGATCTGATTGCGCCTCCGAAGTTAACTTCGGAGATCACTCAGTTGCCAACGCTCGAACATAAAAGATTCTTGCGTGATCTGCGTAGTGGCAAAGTCAAGCAGATCTGCATACTCGTCGCTGAAGACGAGTATGTAACCGACATAAGGTCAGCAACAGTGTTTACTGAGAACGAGAGAATTCTCAGTAGTTCATCTATGGACGAGAGTGTCCTAGATGAAAAGACACGAATTGAGCGATATGAGTCCCAATCATGGGAATCGCTCAAGACAAATCCTCTCTATGAAGATTTGGTTGAATTCAAGGATGTATTCCCTGAAACTGTTCCGTGCGAATTACCGAAGGATAAAGGTATTCGACACGAAGTCGAGCTTAAACCAGGCTCGAAGTACTGTGTCATGAAGCAGTGGCCACTGCCTCGTGAACAAGTACTTGCGATCGACAAGTTCTTTGCCGATCGTTTAGCAGCGGGCCATGTGAGGGAATCAACTTCCCCACATAGCTCTCCGACCTTCTGTGTGCGAAAAGCAACAGGAGGGTGGCGGATAGTGCACGCGTTTAACAAGTTGAACGCTGCAACGGTACCGGCTCAGACGCCGATACCAAGGAAGGACGTAATCATTGATGGTATGTCAAAGAGTACCATCTTTTCGTCCATGGATTTGATGGATGGCTTCTATCAAATCCTAATGCGGAACGGGATATACCCTATACCGCAGTGAGCACGCCTAGCGGCATGCTCTGGGAATGGCTAGTAATGCCACAAGGGCTTAGTAATGCCCCTGCCACGTTCAACAGATGTGTATCACATCTGTTGAGACCGGTACGAGAATTCGCGCCGAGTTATTTCGATGACGTATTCATCCATAGTCGGGCTATGGATGGAAAGTCGGACGTTGAGGTTCACAGGTACCACGTCCGACAGGTTCTTACAATCATGCGAAAGCATCAATTGTATGCAAACCTCAAGAAGTGTATATTTGCAGCAAGCGAAATACCACTCCTTGGGTGCATCGTTGGTAAGAACGGTGTACGTCCTGATCCCGAAAAGATCAAGGCGATCACCGACTGGCCTGTGCCAGTCGACGTCAAAGGTCTTCGAAAATTCCTTGGGCTGGCGGCGTATTTGCATAAGTATTCACGCAATTACGCCGAGATGACTGTGCACCTCTCTCGTTTGTTGAAAAAGAATGAGATGTGGTTATGGAACGCTGAATGTCAGCGCTCCTTTGATGGTATCAAGAAGAGCTTATTACAATCCCGAGTCCTAGCGATTGCCGATCAGGACAGGCCATTTCATGTGGTATGTGACGCCAGCGATTTCGCAATCGGCTGTGCATTAATGCAGTACGACCTTGAAGGCGTTGAACGCGTCGTCTGCTATCAGTCGCGTCAGCTGCAACCAGCTGAGCGGAACTATCCAGTGCATGACAAGGAACTCCTTGCCATGAAGTATGCACTCGCGAAGTTCAGAGTCTATCTATTAGGAGATAGACCCTTCGTTGTTTACACTGACCATGCGTCCTTACGCACGGCAGTGAACAGCCCGCACCTTTCACAACGAATGGCGCGGTGGTTGTCATTCTTTGCAGAATACAACTTTACGGTCGAGTACAAACCAGGACGACTTAATGTCGTCGCTGATGCACTCTCACGTCGTCCCGACTTTGAAACAGTCGTGAAAGTCAACAGTGAGACAGTCACTGTTGCGGTTATGACGTCCTCAGTCTTATCTACAACGTTGTATGATGATGTGAGGCGGGCATACGCCCAAGATGGTGAGATAGTGAAGTTGTTGTCACATCTCTCCCAACCATCTCGAGAATCGTTGAAACGATTGTCGTCTGCGTATCGATCTGCATCAGATCGATACACTACTCGTAACGGTTTACTGTACTATACAGCCGTTTCTGGTGACACACCGCGTGTTGTCATTCCAGATGATACTGATCTGCGTTTGCGGATCATGTTCGAGTATCACGATGCTCCTATAGGAGGACATCGTGGCCGAGAGAAAACATATCTCACGGTAAGTCGAGACTTTTACTGGCCCCGCCAGTATCAGTTTGTGCGAAAGTATGTTCGCGCATGCGAAGTCTGTCAACGAGTGAAGTCAAGTCCTTCACTGCGTGCACCTTTACAGCCTCTACCGGTTCCGGCTGAGTGCTGGGAATCCATCTCAATGGATTTTGTCTTCGGGTTACCCAAAGACGTACGCGGGAATACGGATATTCTCGTATTTGTTGACAGATTCAGCAAAATGGTACACCTTGTGGCTGTACCAGAGACAATCACGGCAAGTGGCTGTGCTTGTGTCTTTATTGACACCATCTTCCGACTTCATGGGTTGCCCCGTGAACTCGTATCAGACAGAGATCCACGATTCACTGCTGATTTCTGGCGTTCCGTGTTCAAATCACTCGGAACGCGCTTGAAGATGTCAACATCTGATCATCCAGAGTCAGATGGTCAGACGGAACGTGCCAATCGTGTCCTTGAAGAGATACTTCGAGGATACGTACACTCCTTTATGAGTTGGAGTGAGTTTTTGCCGATGGTAGAGTTTGCCATCAACAACTCGGTGCATGCGTCCACGACACATACACCGTTTTACGTGAATGGCTTGCGCCATCCGCGTGTACCCACCTTACTAGAGTGTAACTCTGGTTTAAGGGGGGGAGGGACTCGCGCGATCAAAAACCGATTTGGTTCACGCTCATCACGCTCTGACGAAGAGGTCATTGCGTTTGATGCCGATATCGATAACATCAATATCGAAGAAGATGATGCCAGTGAGAGTGCGGAAGCCCTCACTGAAGACAATGATCCCAGTGAGAGTGCGGAAGCCCTCACTGAAGAAAAGGTTGATGCTGCTGCAGTGCGCTCACAGCACACTGAAGCTAACGAGTCATCAGATGAGTTCATACTGGCTCGTGAAACGGTAGTCCGTTTTGTGCAAGACTCCATCGCCGAAGCGGTGGATAAGCAAAAGCAAAACGCTGACAAGAATGGAAGGGCAAACACTCTTTTATTTAATAAAGGTGACTTAGTCCTACTGTCTACGGTTAATCTACCAAAACATGTAGTGACTAACTTGGGTAGCAGTAAACTACTACCCAAGTACATTGGCCCATTTCGTGTATTGCACCGCCTAGGCAATGCATACACGATCGAGTTACCACGTAAGATGCGAACGCATCCCACGTTTAACGTTGGTCGGCTTAAGCCGTACCATCAGTACGCTGCTTCTTCCGATGAAGAACGCCCTTGCGCTCAAGCATCTCGCAGAGAGCCTTGTGCTCCCGATGGTGGGCATCAACAAGGGTCTGAAGAGCAGTTATCTCAGCCCGAGACCGATCAACAATCCCACGAGCTACCCTTAGCTCGTCACGAAGAGATGTCAGAGATCTCTCGTTCTCAAGCTGAGCAAAGGCAAACTCAGCTCGATGCTTCGAGGCAGTGTCCACCATCTGGAGACGCCTATTCCGCTCATGCTCGAGATCGTCGCGTAACCCTTGCGTTACGCGATCAAAGCTCTCGGGAACACACCGATCCACATGATCGTGTGGAGAGCGTCTTTCCTCCTCCTCCACCTCCATTAGAGGACTCTCGCGGTGGCCAGCGCTATCTAGTAGAGCAGCTGTTGAACCACCGCGACGTGAACAGACGTCGGACGAGTTACCTCGTCCGGTGGCGCGGCTATCCCCCGTCCTGGGATTCTTGGGAGCCCCGCTCCCAATTGATGGTTGACGTACTGGGTCTGGTCGAGCAGTACGACGCGACACATCCTGTGCCGCAGAAGGACCGCCGGAGAAAGTCTTCCCGGCACGGTCGTAAAGGGATTTCAGGTTGTCAATCCCTTCGTACATCTCAGTAGAGACACGTACGCGCCACCACGGGCTGGTAAGGAGGTAAGCCTCCTTAGGTGCTCGTGCAGAGTTGTTCACACAACATGGGCACGAGTCTCCCCAAGAGAGGCAGGGTAATCCTTTCTCCCTTGACAGACGATGCAGCTTATAGCGTGCACCTGTCGGGGTTCGCTTTTCAAACTTATCACGAGCTTTGATAAGTTTGTCGTTCCAAGCGTCACGACCTACATCCTCGAGATTATGGATGTAGGCGTTCCACGCCTGAAGTAGTGAGGGACCATCACGTTTGTGATTCCCACTGTACCATCGATGTCTGAAGAAAGCATCGATGAAGAACTCATGTTCAGCGCGATAGTCTTTCGCGCTGGGGTCAAGTGATGAATCCTCGACGAATCGAACAATCGTGTTCGATAACGATCACTCGTCGTCGCCGACAAGTGATCCATGACAGATTTAGGAGGCATCCATGCCTTCTTTTCTGGAGCGAGACGCAACACATTGCGGTCCCGCTCTTCCTGCGACGTGCCGACAGAAGTACTGGCACCTCGCTGTGAAGTGGTGTCCATTGGAGAAACGACACCACTATTAGCGCCCGAGTCTCGCGACCTCGAGCGCCTTCGCTTCGGTGATGGTTCATCTGATTCATCAGATGAAATAAAGATGCTACGACGCATAGCATCATCCATGCCACGCTTGGCAGGCGGCTTGGATTCAATTGCCGTCGATACGGATCCGTCATCCGTATCAGGAGAGTACGAGACACCGAGCTCGTACTCTGTGAAGACACGAGTGTCTTCATGACCAGCGCCTGCATCACCAGGTGATACAGGCTGAGTCGATTCAGCAACCGATGGGACATCAGTTGCTGTAGTTTCTGCTTCGGCGTCCGCACAGAGACGTGCAGACGCGCTCTCGGCGGCCTTGCTCGCGCATCGCATGGGCTTGTTTACCATGCGATGAGATGTTGGAAAGTGGACGCGGACCAACAAGTGCAAACCCCGTCCCAAATGATTTGGGACGAGTATCCATTTAGTCAATCAGTCACTAAAGTGACTGATGGTTAAGGGGGTGATGTAACGGGGTGAATCGTTACATAACAATTTATAAGAAATTGTTAATAGAATATAACTATAAGAGTTATATTCTCAGAATATTGTCATAAGGACAATATTCTGTAGCACTTCAAGTAGTTCCTAATTGGTTGATATAGGCCATTATATCAACCAACGAAGACGCCGCCACGACAGACGCACGCAATGAGTGGTGAGCAGATAACTGATTTACACATTTGTATTTAGACATAGTTAGATGAAGATAAATAGTGATTTATTGCAGACATTAACTATTATAAATACAGTTCTACTTTTTACTCTAACCAAGTACTCGCTTCTTCTTACCGTCTTCCTCTGCACGTACGAGTGTACGTGAAGTTACGAGGCACCGCCTTATTCTGTTATCAGAATAAGTAGCTTGTACTGTCACCAGTACAAGCTTCAGGGTGCCCCGTTACAATATATTTTAACCGTAATCACAGATCGACAAACCATGCCCAATTTACATAAGTCTTGCAGAGCATGATTGTCGTCTTTAGCAACACGAAGAAAGCGAATATGACAGCTGACTTGATGCGGTACATCTATACGTGTAAGATATAAGTCGAACCAAAGCGTCGGATCTGTATCCTCGTGACGTTGTTCCGCAATCCATTAGCCGCATTTTACGTTATATCCACGTACGCTCTTTGCCGCCCAATGACGAGGTGATGCCATTCTCGAATACCAAAGATGGACTAAAGAAACTCCGGTTACTCACATCTACCACCGACATGTGTCGAGGGCTTTTTGCTTCCTTAATGACCGACTGCCGTACATAACGTGAATAGCCAACATGGTGCTAAGGTGAGGAATCCAGTCGCCGTAGTAAAGTGATTTACGGAACGGAGTCAGCACGAGTCAGGAGCTATGCAAATGAAAAGCATGTTCAGCAGCTGATTGTGTATGTACGAAGAAGATAGACTAGCTTGTCTTGCGAACACCTCTGGTACATTGCATGTATATTGCTGAAGGGGCCACGTGTCGGTGTCGCGGTCTATAGTCAGCACGAGCACGAAATTTGAGGCATCAAGTGATAAAGCAGATATCTTAACAATACTTCACTCTAGCACGTCGAATGAGGGCAGTCGCACAATATAAATGTAGCCAGCAATTTGCTCAATCATACGGCATATCGGAGCAAGAAATCAGCGGATCCAGCTTGTAATCATGCTGTTCTTTGCTTAAAGTCCCACGTACGACAGTAAATAGGACTTTGCATGTATAGTGTCCGAACTTACAGCGCAAGATCGGTTGGTGGCGTTGGAAAAGCATCCAATTCTGCTTGGATTCCATTCAGCTGGAGAAAAAATAACCGCAACTCTTCGTGTGAAAGCTCAACGTCTAACCTCTCAGTCTGCACGCACGTGTTAGAATAATCTCATAACTACCAAAACCTGGCTCATTCCATCCATACCTGCTTCGTCTTCGATCGCTCGTCCATCACGTCCAGCTGGAATATCGCCATTGGCTGCAAATATCCCGCACGCTTGCTGCTCCCCATTTGCAAGTGCAGACGCCAGTCCGTCTTTTGAAGCACCAGCGAGGGCATCCTGACCTTTTGAGCCGCAACAGCATGCTCTGCTTCTACGCTTCCTGCCTTTTTCCATGCCTTCTCCACGGCATGCACCACGTTGTCGTTCACGTCATGCGACAACAATAAGTTTTGGTCGATGTGTCGAAAAGTAGCGGCATCTTCGAAGACGTCGTTAGCGACGTACAAAATGTCGTCGATGTGGTCGTTCTCTAGCTCCATCATAGACTTTATCTCTTTCTTTTCCCAGTTGGTGAACACTCCCAATGTAACGGGGCACCCTAAAGCTTGTACTGGTGTCAGTACAAGCTACTTATTCTGATGACAGAATAAGGCGGTGCCTCGTAACTTCACGTACACTCGTACGTGCAGAGGAAGACGGTAAGAAGAAGCGAGTACTTGGTTAAAGTAAAAAGTAGAACTGCATTTATCATAGTTAATGTCTGCAAAAAATCCCTATTTATCTTCATCTAACTATGTCTGAATACAAACGTGCATATCAACTCTCTGCTCACCACTCATTGCGTGCGTCTGTCGTGGCGCGTCTTCGTTGGTTGATAGAATGGCTTATATCAACCAATTAGGAACTGCTCGTAAGTGCTACAGAGAATTCGTCCTTATGACAATATTCTGAGAATATAGCTCTTATAGTTTTATTCTCTTAACAGTTTCTTACAAATTGCTATGAAACCATTCACCCCGTTACACCCTCCCCCCTAACCATCAGTCACTTTAGTGACTGATTGACTAAATGGATACTCGTCCCAAATCATTTGGGACGGGGTTTGCACTTGTTGGTCCGCGTCCACTTTCCAACATCTCATCGCATGGTAAACAAGCCCATGCGATGCGCGAGCAAGGCCGCCGAGAGCGCGTCCGCACGTCTCTGTGCGGACGCCGAAGCAGAAACCACAGCAACTGATGTCTCATCGGTTGCTGAAGCGACTCAGCCTGTGTCACTTGGTGATGCAGGCGCTGGTCATGAAGACACTCATGTCCTCACAGACTACGAGCTCGGTGTCTCGTACTCTCCTGATAAGGAAGACGGATCCGTATCGAAGGCGGTTTAAGCCAAGCCGCCTGCCAAGCGTGGCATGGATGATGCTATGCGTCGTAGCATCTTTGGTTCATCTGTGGAATCAGATGAACCGTCGCCGAAGCGAAGGCGCTCGAGGTCGCGAGAATCGGGCGCTCACAGTGGTGTCGGTTCTCCTATTGACACCACTTCGCAACGAGGTGCCAGTACTTCTGTCGGCACATTGCAGGAAGAGCGGGACCACAATGTGTTGCGTCTCGCTCCCGAGAAGAAGGCATGGATGCCTCCAAAATCTGTCATGGATCACTTGTCGGCGACGACGAGTGATCGTTATCGAACACGATTGTTCGATTCGTCAAGGATCCATCACCTTGACCCCAGCGCGAAAAACTATCGCGCTGAGAATGAATTCTTCATCGATGCTTTCTTTAGACATCGATGGTACAGTGGGAATCAAAAGCGTGATGGTCCCTCACTACTTCAAGCGTGGAACGCCTACATCCATAACCTTGAGGATGTAGATCGTGACGCTTGGAACGACAAACTTATCAAAGCTCGTGATAAGTTTGAAAAGCGAACCCCGACAGGTGCACGATACAAGCTGCATCGTCTGTCAAGGGAGAAGGGATTACCCTGCCTCTCTTGGGGAGACTCGTGCCCGTGTTGTGTGAACAACTCTGCACGAGCACCTAAGGAGGCTTACCTCCTTACTAGCCCGTGGTGGCGCGTACGTATCTCTACTGAGATGTACGAAGGGATTGACAACCTGAAATCCCTTTACGACCGTGCCGGGAAGACTTTCTCCGGCGGTCCTTCTGCGGCACAGGATGTGCCGCGTCGTACTGCTCAACCAGACCCAGTACGTCAACCATCAGTTGGGAGCGGGGCTCCCAAGTATCCCAGGACGTGGGGTAGCCGCGCCACCGGACGGGACAACTCGTCCGACGTCCGTTCACATCGCGGTGGTTCAACAGCTGCTCTACTAGATAGCGCTGGCCACCGCGAGAGTCCTCTAATGGAGGTGAAGGAGGAGGGAAGACGCTATCCACACAATCGTGGGGGAGCATGTGCCCCGAGAGCTTCTTTGATCGCGTAACTCTTGCGTTACGCGACGACCTCGAGCATGAGCGGAATAGGCGTCTTCAACTGGCGGGCGCTGTCTTGAAGCATCGAGCTTAGTTTGCCTTTACTCAGCTTGAGAACGAGAGAGCTCGGACATCTCTTCGTGACAAGCTAAGGGTAGCTCGTGGGATAGTTGATCGGTCTCGGGATGAGATAACTGCTCTTCAGACCCTTGTCGATGCCACCATCGGGAGCACAAGGCTCTCTGCGAGATGCTTGAGCGCAAGGGCATTCTTCATCGGAAGAAGCAGCGTACTGATGGTACGGCTTAAGCCGACCAACGTAAAACGTGGGATGCGTTCGCATCTTACGTGGCAACTCGATCGTGTATGCATTGCCTAGGCGGTGCAATACACGAAATGGGCCGATGTACTTGGGTAGTAGTTTACTGCTACCCAAGTTAGTCTCTACATGCGTTGGTAGGTTAACTGTATACAGTAGGACTAAGTCACCTTTATTAAATAAAAGAGTGTTTGCCCTTCCATTCTTATCAGCGTTTTGCTTTTGCTTATCCACCGCTTCGGCGATGGAGTCTTGCACAAAACGGACTACCGTTTCACGAGCCAGTATGAACTCATCTGATGACTCGTTAGCTTCAGTGCGCTGTAAGCGCACTGCAGCAGCATCAACCTTTTCTTCAGTGAGGGCTTCCGCACTCTCACTGGCATCATCTTCTTCAGTGAGGGCTTCCGCACTCTCACTGGCATCATCTTTTCGATATCGATGTTATCGATATCGGCATCAAACGCAATGACCTCTTCGTCAGAGCGTGATGAGCGTGAACCAAATCGGTTTTTGATCGCGCGAGTCCCTCCCCCCCTTAAACCAGAGTTACACCCGAGTAAGGTGGGTACACGCGGATGGCGTAAGCCATTCACGTAAAACGGTGTATGTGTCGTTGACGCATGCACCGAGTTGTTAATGGCAGACTCTACCATGGGCAAAAACTCACTCCAACTCATAAAGGAGTGTACGTATCCTCGAAGTATCTCTTCAAGGACACGATTGGCACGTTCCTTCTGACCATCTGACTCTGGATGATCAGATGTCGACATCTTTAAGCGCGTTCCGAGTGATTTGAACACGGAACGCCAGAGATCAGCAGTGAATCGTGGATCTCTGTCTGATACGAGTTTACGGGGCAACCCATGAAGTCGGAAGATGGTGTCAACAAAGACACAAGCACAGCCACTTGCCGTGATTGACTCTGGTACAGCCACAAGGTGTACCATCTTGCTGAATCTGCCAACAAATACGAGAATACCCGTATTCCCGCGTACGTCTTTGGGTAACCCGAAGACAAAATCCATTGAGATGGATTCCCAGCACTTAGCCGTAACCGGTAGAGGCTGTAAAGTTGCACGCAGTGAAGGACTTGACTTCACTCGCCGACAGACTTTGCATGCGCGAACATACTTTCGCACAAACTGATACTGGCGGGGCCAGTAAAAGTCTCGACTCACCGTGAGATATGTTTTCATCCGGCCACGGTGTCCTCCTATTGGAGCATCGTGATACTCGAACATGATCCGCAAACGCATATCAGTATCATCTGGGATGCCAACACGTGGTGTGTCACCAGAAACGGCTGTATAATACAGTAACCCGTTGCGAGTAGTGTATCGATCTGATGCAGATCGATACGCAGGCGACAATCGTTTTAACGATTCTCGAGATGGTTGTGAGAGATGTGTCAACAACTTCACAACCTCACCATCTTGGGCGTATGCCCGCCTCACATCATCATACAACGTTGTAGATAAGACTGAGGACGTCATAACCGCAACAGTGACTGTCACACTGTTGGGTTTCGCGACTGTTTCAAAGTCGGGACGACGTGAGAGTGCATCAGCGACGACATTAAGTCGTCCTGGTTTGCACTCGACCGTAAAGTTGTATTCTGCAAAGAATGACAACCACCGCGCCATTCATTGTGAAAGGTGCGGGTTGTTCACTGCCGTGCGTAATGACGCATGGTCAGTGTAAACAATGAAGGGTCTATCTAATAATAGATAGACTCTGAGCTTCGTGAGTGCATACTTCATGACAAGGAGTTCCTTGTCATACACTGGATAGTTCCGCTCAGCTGGTTGCAGCTGACGCGACTGATAGAAGACGACTCGTTCAACGCCTACAAGATCGTACTGCATTAATGCACAGCCGATTGCGAAATCGCTGGCATCACAAATTACATGAAATGGCCTGTCCTGATTGGCTATTGCTAGGACTGGGGATCGTATCAAGCCCTGCTTGATACCCTCAAAGGAGTGCTGACATTCAGCGTTCCATAACCACCTCTCGTTCTTTTTCAACAAACGAGAGAGGTGCACAGTCATCTCGGCGTAATTGCGTGAATACTTATGCAAATACGCCGCTAGCCCAAGGAATTTTCGAAGACCTTTGACATCGACCGGCACGGGCCAGTCGGTGATCGCCTTGATCTTTTCGGGATCAGGACGTACACCGTTCTTACCAACGATGCACCCAAGGAGTGGTATTTCGCTTGCTGCAAATATACACTTCTTGAGGTTTGCATACAATTGATGCTTTCGCATGATTGTAAGAACCTGTCGGACGTGGTACCTGTGAACCTCAACGTCCGACTTTCCATCCATAGCCCGACTATGGATGAATACGTCATCGAAATAACTCGGCGCGAATTCTCGTACCGGTCTCAACAGATGTGATACACATCTGTTGAACGTGGCAGGGGCATTACTAAGCCCTTGTGGCATTACTAGCCATTCCCAGAGCATGCCGCTAGGCGTGCTCACTGCGGTATAGGGTATATCCCGTTCCCGCATTAGGATTTGATAGAAGCCATCCATCAAATCCATGGACGAAAAGATGGTACTCTTTGACATACCATCAATGATTACGTCCTTCCTTGGTATCGGCGTCTGAGCCGGTACCGTTGCAGCGTTCAACTTGTTAAACGCGTGCACTATCCGCCACCCTCCTGTTGCTTTTCGCACACAGAAGGTCGGAGAGCTATGTGGGGAAGTTGATTCCCTCACATGGCCCGCTGCTAAACGATCGGCAAAGAACTTGTCGATCGCAAGTACTT